TAATTATATACATGAGTAATATGCACAACAAAAATTTGAACTAATTCGCATCAGTATTTCTTCATGTTATAGAAGAAATAATTTTCTCAATTTCTGACAACAGATTCTATGATGTCATACTTTACCCATAATCCTTTGCTTGAGAATCAAGATGGCTGACTACATAATAACGATGAAAAGTTGAATATCTAGAGAATGAAAACTGATATAAAAAAAGTGTAAATTGCATTCTCCTACATTTGTGGAGCTTTTTCTTTAGGGGTCATTATGTTGTTTGGATTGAGGTTCCCTTAAGGCTCCTTTTCGCGACCCATGTACGAGATGCCTTATTAATGAGTTTATTGGGGGACATATATGTATATATATATTTGTATGTATATTTTTGAGGAGCTTTTAATAAATGTTACCCCATCGATTGATATCCCCAAACACGTGCATTGGTAGCCGAGTTGACGGCAATAAGTCGAATGTTTGTTTCCGTTGCCTCGTGACACTTGTATTCATATATTGATGAAGGGCGGTGGTCTTCGCTTTCGGCGATCCTGCTGACATTTCAAAATTACAGACTCTCTGTATTGTAACTATATGAACTTTCTTGGCCCTCTATCGCGTTACATTTTAAAGGTAAACACACCCTGAGACGTCGAAAAATGTCACCTGGGTATTAAATAGGACGTTAACAATCAGTAGAAACGATCTATTTCATATCGATTTCATATCGATCGAATGCCACGTTTCGGATATCAACAATTAAGCAACACGCACCGAAAGAGTGAGTTTGTGCGAAAGAAATTGTAGACGAGCTCACTTCAAAATGAAAAGAAAAGACTATAATACAAACAAATAATTTGATATGGTTAACTTACTCTATTTATGTAGAAATCGTCCGCCATATTGAACTTTGCTAGAAGTCTTGTAAATGTGTGTTGTTGTAAATTTGGTTACCGCTGATCAGGTTACATCTCGTGGCTCTAGAATAAACAGCCTGTGGGAAAACAATAAAAGAAACATTATACCATATCATTCGCTATTATGGAATCGTGTTGTAATCAAGTTTAGATTGCTAGGCCTGCACGTGAAACGAAATAAATGACATCAATTACAAAAAAAAAACAAAAAAACTTTGATTTATTGTTGGTTTACTTTCTGAGAATAAATCTTTCACCTTAGAATGCATAGTATGACATTAATATGCAAAGTTTAAAATATTGCGTGTCATCAACTAAGGAGTCACCTTGGCTTTTATGTATCAAATGTACTATTCTCACTTTACTAACTTCACTAGAATTAGTGTGCACTTCAACGCACAACAAATCCGTGTACCAGACTGTTACGCGTTCATTCGGGTACCCTCGATTTGTATAAGTTCCACTGTTTTGTCATTTAATTGTGAAAGTTCACGCTGGCTCACAAGGAACAAAGGACTATCTTAATAATTATAAATTGGTTCATATATAATGTGTCCAATTTGCATTCACCCGATACGTTGAAATAGTTCACTTCATAGATCGACGTGGATTGTTGAATTTTACCATGAAATTTAATTGCTGAATTAAAAATGCTAGATTACAAGAGTTTTAATTCAGCATAAACCGCATAATCGGGCATATGAATGACATGCAGGGTGTTTATAATCCATATTTTGTTTTCCGTACTACCCCCACCACACCTCATCCCATCATTTCATAGTTATGGCGTGGGTTCAGGCTGGGATCACTCAGATGCCCCGTGTTAGTACATCTTTGAAAAGTATATGGATACCCCCCCCCCCCCCGTCAATTCATGTTTCTGTATGAAGAAGCCTGGCATTATTGATATATGTTATGCAAGCGTGTGTTGTGGCTTAAACCAAACACTGTCTATACTAACGATGAATACGCAAATCGCATTATCATGACAACACTCTGACGTATTCTACAGAGAATGCAATTAAAACAAATGATGGAAGCTCTTATTAAATAGGTCCAGAACGTTGGTTTTAATTTCTTCATTTGCCACGAGTCGATTTTTACAGGCACGATTGCTTATTGACCGACCAGATTCATTGTTACATGAATATTACAGCGTACCGAGATCAATAACATTGTAATAATATATTACTCTTGTTTAAACTCTGATTGATGAAGAAATCCATACCCATCGAATAACTTGATTGGTATAAAACCACCCATGCGATTGGTCGTGGCGTGTTTCCACCGTGACAAAGCACTGTGTTTGGTAGCAAAGCTAAATGCACACCCAAACCAGGACACTTGGACTTGCTTGGACACAACTACGTAATATTAGAGCGAATCTGACGCAATCCGGACTCGACCCAAATACAGTACACCAGTAATTCACCATGACAGTTACCTCGTTTTCTCGACAGTAATTAATTGGAAGCCAACAGCTCGAGCCAGCAAAAATGACGCGTTCAGTTCGAAACGGCTCCTCGGGTTTGAACTCCCATAGGACTGAGCTCTGACATGACCCGGGGACATGACCCCACGTCACCGTCTAAACGAGAAACCCCCGTCAAGGGCGTTGTTTCAAACAACTCTAAACTATTCTGACCGAACTTCGGACCCTGGCACGTTTGGCGACAACCGTATAAGCGCACAAGAAATAATCTCCTCTTAGTTGGTAGAGGGGCGATAGGTCGGCTCCGATAAAATTATGCCATGGAAACCTACAAGTGGTTGGACTGTGGGTTATCTGAATTTTGTTTTATTTACAGATATTAAGTGCAATTGCTCAGTATTTAATCTTGATAATTAGATGGGCCTTTAAAGTGTCAACAATGTGATAAAATAAGAATATATTTTATATGCTATATATTGCCATGACAAATCTGTGTAATATGTTGTCGACGCAGTTCTGAGTTCTGGGTTATCTTCTAGTTAAATATTAGTTGAATAATGAATTGAACTGAACAAAACAATAAACTAACATGTAATAGTAATGTCCATGACAATTGGAAATTAGGTTGACAAACCTTGATTTGTATTTTTTATAATTACTTTGATATAGATTGAACCTTATGAATGTCAAAGTCAACTTTTTCCACTTTTCACAAAATATACTCACATAAGTTGTTTCCGCAAATCTGATCAATACTGTAAAATGACAATTTTCACTGGGTTTAAATTTCGCTGATTTACTATTTCAGGCATAATCTGTGGGTTTCAAAATCGCTGTTCTATCATTCAGGAAATGTATTCTATGCTCAATTTCACATATTCACTAGGTTTTAATTTAGCGCATTTTCCAGTCAGCGAAATAAGCAAAATTAAACCCAGTGAATAATTAACCCCTTTACAGTACAACAGAAATAATATACAGAAAATTACACAGAAATGTGCAAACTATTGAACTATCAACGGGAAAAACAGAACGCCCTGTACAATTTGACCGTAAGTACATACTGATGAACTTGATGTTCTCAAATGCAGATGATGTAATATATAACAAGTGATTAATGACAACTTACATCGACTGCAACGTGTTGTTGCTGAGTTCACCCAAGACAGATAAATAAAACACTGCACACATGATATAATATCGAGAGAAATCAATGGTTACCATGACGGTGTTGTAAATGGGATTGGAATCGGATTGTAGGGAGTTACCATTCGAAACGGCGGGGTGTAAATATGGACGAGCTAAATCGGTCATGCTGCATCTGATGGCCAGGCTGATTTAGAGAGTCCGACTTTCCGACCGTCCCATTCCCCCGTCCGATCGACCGTGTCATTCCCCGCTCCCCCATTACCCTCGTTACTCACACACATTAATATGCAGCTCATATTACACACAGACATGTTCGTCCACTGAAATAGTTTTACTTTCTTTTTTGAATTGGATCATATAACCCACAATAGATTGTAGAGTCTATAATTGAACGATCACTTTTCAAATATATTTTTGTTACTTATAGTTTTTATTCCGCGTGTGTCTGCTACGTTTGAATTTTGGCCGTCACCATGTGAATATATAGTGGTGAAGTTGTGGTACAACGTCGCACACCCTATTTCCCTCGTTCACAATAAACCCAAGTGTATAATTATCTGCGAAGAAGGCCAACTCCCTTCTTTCTATAGTGGATTAGTTCGTTGTGACAGGATACTAAGCTTATAATCTTTGCTATACGTCAATTTAAAAAAGAAAAACCATGGCGACAAATTATAATCGTATTCAGTATTGTACGTTGTAGCCATAGTAACGTTAAAGTCCGAAGAATGTGTTTTTGTGCGGCTTTATTTTATTTCACAGTGACTGCTGATAATGTACACTTTTACGCGTTTTCTCTTATATCACGTTATTTCTCGCGTATGTATTACATTTAGTTTTAGTCTCGAGTGCGAAAAAAGAGGGACTGGGGTTCACAATTTTACATCACCGCCACAGACAAAAAATTCTCTGATAATCACAGAATAACCATATTAATATTGGAAATCATTATTATCATACAGCGCCGTAAATTAGACTGGGTGATGTCGGTGAAAGGATTGCCCCTACACTCAAAAATATACTACTACTAACAAGCTTTTCCACTTTGCCGAATTGTGTTCATATACGGTGTTCTAATATAAGACATATGACTGGACTACGAGCAGTGTCATCAATATGAATATGAGGAACTTCAAGACTCGACATCGCATGGTCGAGTTCAGTAGATAACTGGACTAGATTTGCACTACCAAAGTACAGGTACATATCAAACTGATTGAACTAGTGGGGTCGTGTTATCAAATCAATAAAGACAAATACACACCCTGGTTAGTAGTTTTATTCTCTGTTGTACAAATGGCTCACTTCAATTAGTAGTTGTTCATAAACGAAGCATTGTACTTTGTGAGAATGTTCACGGCATTACGGCTGCTGTTTGTTTGATTTGCGCAATACAAAAAATAAAACCTCAACAACACCAATATGCATGTACTTATTTTATATTTGCTATGCAAAGCATCCTCTTCAATATGCGTCCTTTCTATTTACGGGAGTAAACAGCGGTATCGATGCGACCTTACAAAACACACATAACAAGGATTTGTGGACGATCTTTCGAGTTTAGTAATTATTGACACACATAGCCCATAATACAATGCGACAGTGACTTCATTGTGAAGATCTCATCTCTACTCCAGATATTCCGTTGAAAAACAAGTATCCAAATGGTCACGGTCCGAAGGGACGGGTAACTGCGAGTCCGCGCGCGGTTGTCAGAAAAAAACACTGTACACCAGTGTTTTACAAGCACGCTCTCCAGATTCAAGTACTAGTACTTTATGGTGACACAGTTCTTGTTGGCCTGTTTCGGGACAATAGATTAAGTGCGGATTTATTGTAGGTCACAGACACATATAAGAACGTTTCATCTGGACAACAAGAATGCTATGTAACGCACCATAATTTAAAGTACACTCAACGCCACTTTTAAAGGGCCGCGGCGGTGGTCGTCGCCAGCGCGTGTTCGAATTTCACGTAAACAAACAATGTATTTTACAATTTCATAACAATGAAATAGACGTAATCTTGAATCATGAAATAAGTTAGCCAAGGCGCATACAGCCTGAAGAGGGCGTAATGTCGCCGACAGAGGGCATATTTATACCCATTTCGCCCAATATAGTGTACAATTGGTTATCAATGTACCATCTACACATAATACGGTGCAATAAATCTTTCAACAAATATAAATACTGCATGCCAATGATATTACGCAAGAATGGGTGCTTCGTACAATTTGGTGTCAGGTCAGGGAATGCGTAGCCAGATTTGCCCATCTTTAATGGAATTACATGATTTTGAATAGTAGCATACAGTACATAACCTGACCTGAGTGATGCTTTCACGCCATATCGTCACGGTATTACTCCACAATTTCACAAAACTTTATTTCTTGAACGTTAATTAATCTCAGACGAGTCTATGTGCTATGTGCGGGTGGCGTATAGCATTGATTCGACTTGTCATTACTAAGACCCAACCTATCCCATTCCACGTGACTGAAGTGATCATTAAGATGACGGTTCTCTCCTGTCACATTCTGTTCACTTAGCAAAGAAACGTAATGGGTGGAAGTGTTTAGAAAGAGCCCATGACTGTTGTCTGACATACACTAACAATAATAACTGACTGGATCTTCTTTATACGGTTCATTGGCTACTGCTCTGTCTCGATAATACAATGCCACCAACAATCTGAATAATAGAGCACTATATTACTTCAGGGGTCGGTATATATACTGGCGTCCTTAGCAACGCCCAGGTGCATACAAGAAATCGGTATGAACGGGTCGGGGGGAAATAGATCGTACAGCGCAGAGTTGCCGCGACGTGGTGGAATGTGTCAATTTCGGGTTCGCAGTGTAATCAATTTCGCGCTGGTATAAATCAGGTCGTTATTAGTGGAGGCATTTGCGTACACACTGCGTCCAGCACAACATAATAGGGGAGATAATGAGATTGAAACAAAAGGATAACATGGTTAATTACGAGTGAGGCGGTCAATAGGGTTCATAAAATATTAATGGCGCGACGGATAGTATCATAGTGCTACATTAAAGTGGCCCAGTCTGGCGAAACATTACCGTACTGTCATATAAAGTACAGCATATTCGGCTCGTTCACCTGTGTGGTATCAAATGACGACTGACACAGTACGACCCAGCGTACACCAAAGTGGCCATGGGTGACCCAACATGCATGTGTATACACTCGGCGCTTGAACGCGCGACACATTGGCGATAACTGGATGCGGAATATCGTACTTACAAATCCGTAACACAACGCGAAAACTAGTACAGATAACGGGAGTGTAACACCGATGAGTGGACAAACTGAAAACCACGAACAAACGTATAAACAGTGCAGACAATACGTGGAGTGACTGTAGTCAAACTAACCCCTTAACTACTGGACAATAACACATTAAACCATACCTGCTATCGCCAAACACACGGCGGTTTCTATCATGGGTAGGGACCTCGTAGATATGGGCCGATGTAGAATAATAGTTGTTGTTAATAGAAGGTGTTGGTTAACCTGGAAACGCTGGGTGGTTTCTAAAACGCGGCTTTCGGCACTCGGTAAATCCCGAATACCAAACTGTATATACTTGGCCAGCTCGTATAGGGTGGCGTATGCCAAGAATGTACAACAATAGCGCCTTCATATACTCGCATATGAAGTGGGCGCTGTCACGGAATCCCGTAATCGTGGGAAAAACTGGGGTTGTCAGCCAGTTTATTAATCGCCAAAAAGAGCACACGATACTGTGTGTTTACACTTCCAGCAAGCGAGTTATGAACGGTTACCAAGTACGGCGGGTAAAACATTGTGTAGAGATGTAAACTAACTTTAAAAAAAAACTTACCGATACGAACCACTGGCATATATTCCGCTGTCGAATGTGCACTAGCGACACAACGCGTGAATTCTCGACTCCGCTTACAACTAATCAGTAGAAAAGATCGGCAGCAATTGGTACGTTTATCCTTAAAAGTGGAGGCCGTCGATCTAATGTATAAATCACACACCTTGTTCCAAGTTGCTGACCAAGGTCCCATAATAACAGTTGTATCCACCCAATAAATTTAGCAATCAATCATGATGTTGATCTATTTATCACACCACCGATAAAATAAACAGTTTATTGATTGGCGTGTTTTATGGGTACCTTTACAGTGACACTTAACCTTATATAAACTAAAAATTCGAGACGCAGTGTTACACCGGTGAACGAGCGATGGCGCTCTGCATATGTTCCGTTCTCCCCACTCGCAATTATTTAATTACAGAACAATGCATGTTAATTTTATTTTAACTAGCATGCTACTTTAGCTGATTTAGAATGTGGCGTATCTTAAAAGAACTCCCATACTCTCAATGGAATTGTTGACACTTATCTAAATCCAGATTATGTTGATCATTGCATCGATCTAGATTATCTAGGACGGCATGTAGCTATTTCAAGGTGTTTCAGTTGACAGAATGTCATCTGAAACTTTGAACTTGCATCAATCATTCGCCACATGTTATCACTACAGCAAATGGTTGGGCACTTGTCCTCGTATATCACTATAGCAACGACCGTTGATAGGAGCGAAACAGTAAACATGAAATGAAACTATAATCCACCAAAAATGATAATAAATATAATTCAAATAATTTAATTTGAATAATCTATAATAGAAAATATAGTTGCTGTATTATCAGCTTTAATCAACATGTCCCTTTCTGCGTTTTTTTTTTTTTGGGGGGGTGCTGATTACGAATATGTCATTGATTAAGCTGTAATGAATAACATAACACGCCATAGCATTTTCACAGAAAATGCCATTTCAAACGTTTGGCTATTTTGGATTTATTGCATTATTATATTTTTTGTACAAACAATATTTTAAACTTCAAACCATTTGAAAAAAAACGTTCAGAAAATTGTTTGACACTCACATTTCGTGGTTCAAAATATTTGCATAAAAAGATATAACCACAAATTTCCGGTAACTTTTAAAAATACATGGAAGTAGTTTTCCATAATGAATTAGTTCTTACTCAGAAATTTTGAGAATTTAGCTATAAGTTAAAACATTAATTTACCCTGGAAAAATCCTTAACTAGTGACATCACATCACTGATGGATTAAATTAAAAAGAAACACGAATTGTTTCTTAACTTTGGAAGAGAAGTTTTAGTCAAACATGGCTTTATCTACAAGCCTCTTTCCCGCCACTAGCAAACATGGCCGACAAGTAACAAGTTGTCTTCTCTCTGTGCCTAGTTTGTAAATTTTGTCTTTAATAAATCTTCCGCCCCATAACTTCAAATGGTCGGTCTCTTATATAACGGCTATATATAACGTATATATAACGTATATGCTATGCATATGCTTTCAATGTCCACATTTCAGAAAATTCTTTTACAAATTGACACTAATAATACAAGAAATGTTTTATTGAAAATAAAAATCAAATCAAAATAAAAAAAGTGTGTATAGAAGCTATGGCAATCCGACTAGAAGCTGTTTTTGAAATTCAATCTTCAAAAAATCATGATATTTGTAATTACATTCTGAATATTTCAAATAATACTGGTCCAATGTCAATGTATATTATACAGTCATATTCAACAAATCTAACTGATTAGTTTGATATATCAAATGTTGGTTTTTTGTTACTATTAATATTTATACTATACCGGTGTTGGTATTTTTAATTGCCACTACTGTCATTGTTAGTTCAAGGGCGATGAAATACCACGGTGAATACAAGGAGTTCTTCAACGGAACAATGGGACGAACGATGTATCCACCAAAGAGAAAGGCCATCATACCATTTATATTGTAATGACGAACATCCGAAAGACTGGATCCTGTGTTTTAGCCAGTGAAACATTAATTGAGCAGCCCAAATATTTATGTACAATGTTTTGGGTTAAAATCATAGAAATATAGTAATATTGTTTTGTACATTCAGTCTCGTGTGAGTTACAGTATTAGAACCTTTTCTATGCCAATTTCTTTTTGACTAGTAATTGTTAAAGCGACAATAAATGTGATTTTGAACAATTTTTGTTTTTATATAACCACATAAAGATGGCCAAATTCTACCGAAATATTGTTTTCGACACAACTGCACAAAAGAATAATAACACATAAAATGCGACGTTAAAAAGAAAGGGCCGGGAAGTAGCCATTTCGTTGAAATAGGTCACGTGGCGGGAACCGTAGACAAATATGACATTTCGGTCAAGGCCCCGATAAATTGTCAGTTTGTACCGTAATTCACGAGGTTCGCTTCACAAAATTGGATTTCAATAGATGGCGCCAGCTGGAAAACTGGACGCAACCGCGCGGTCACCTGCAAGTGATTTTACGTACAACGTCGATGTATACAACGTATCATATGCGTTTAATGTCCGCATTTCAGAGAAAGACTTTACAAATTGACACTAATGACACAAGAAATGTTTCATTAAAAATATAAATCGGAGGAAAGGATCAATAGTTACAACCATTGCAGCTAAATCCTAAAATGATGAGTTGTGCGCTTGTCGGGTTCATAGTTGAGGATGTTCGGGTTAAAGGTTATATATGGTCACCTGACCGTTAACAAACATGGCCGCCAAGCAACGTTCAGCCGCAGGTTTTGACCCAGTTGTAGGCAGTACATTAATGTACACGGGTGCTGTACTGGGATATGGCTTTGGGTTTTTCATCAGTGGAATCCACGATCTTGAAGTTCCATTCCTGGGGATGCCTTTTATCGACAACTACCGAGAAACTTACGACCCTATCAACGACACCGGAGTCGGCTTCTCTTTGTTTTCCCTGTTCTTTTGTGGACACTTTGCCAAACGAATCCTGGAAGTATTGTTTGTACACAGATATAACCATATTATGCCCGCTCTGGAGCTTTTAGGCGGAGTTATATACTACACCGTATTTTCGATAGGCATCGCAGCCTCGCTTCGTGTCTACATCAGTGATCAAAACGTAGATTTTAAGTTACTTTCACTGGGCGCGTGTATTTTTATTGTTGGTGAAATCGGCAACGGAGTCTCCCACTATCAGCTGCGTCTCCTCAGAGACCCCAGGCTTCAACGTAAAGACGACGATACGAATGCGAGAAACAGACCTATACCAGTTGGATGGATTTTCGAATACGTTTCCTGTCCTCATTATTTCTTCGAGATCGTATCATGGCTTGGTTTCTTCGTGGCTGTTGGCACTATACCGGTGTTGGTATTTTTAATTGCCACTACTGTCATTGTTAGTTCGAAGGCGCTGAAATACCACGGTGAATACAAGGAGTTCTTCAACGGAACAATGGGACGAAAGATGTATCCACCAAAGAGAAAGGCCATCATACCATTTATATTGTAATGACGAACATCTGAAAGACTGGATCCTGTGCTTTAGCAATCTAATATTTATGTACAATGTTTTTGGTTAAAATCATAGCCATATTGTAATATATGGTGGTCAATATTTCGAGAAACAGTGAGATAATACTTGGGGAAACAGTGAGATAATAATATCCCCCCCCCCAGTGATGGTCAATATTTTGGGAACCAGTGATGGTCAATATTTCGAGAAACAGTGAGATAATATTTTCTCACCAGTGATGGTCGATACTACAAAATAATTTTCATTTTTTCTATTTTGAATAATTAAATGTAAAATAATTATAATATCCACTATAGTGGATCACTTGCAAAAACACGCCCTCCCTGACAATTAGAAATATCTTCATTATTTTGCAACCCATTTCTATTTTTTTTTCAAAATAAAGCATAAGATTTTTCCCAACAATGTCTCTGTAATTATATGCATCCATCTTCAACCCTTTCTTATATGTAAGTGGAACAGTCATTTCCCTAAAACAGCTACACTCACAATGAGGTAATATTTGTTCTTATGTGTAAGTCCCATAAATTAGAGTCTAAATAACATCGTTATGAATTCAACATTTCTTTTTTGTTTTTTTGCAACGCGCGTTCATTTTGCCGAATTTTCACCACAGGGTTTTGGGAAAAAAAATAAACTATTACTGGCAGTGTAAAGTGTGAGTTAACCTAGACACAAGTTTGGGTATAGCTTACAAGCGCTTTGCTTTTTAATTATTGAATTTCCATCAAACAAACAGTAAATACAGCTTATATGATGTTTCATTTGGGCCTTTATTAAAGCCATTACACCAAAATATTAAAACTGTAATACATTTGAACGTTACATTTTTCAAATTAAATATTACGAAGAAACCAATGACTGAACAATGTCATATGTTCTTTGGTGAAATTTACAGTATTGCCATTTTTGCAGACTGCTAACACACAAAATGCATTGTGAAACATGTGTAGCACCTGTTTTCGACTTGAAAGTAGGCATGTATACGTTGTGATGGCAATAATTCATTAGGATCCCCGGGCCCTCACCTATCCGACATTCAGTGCCAAACACATTCAATGATATATCAGTCAGGGTTATTGAAACACCAGGCAAAGTCAGTATTAGCGATGAGGGGGCAAATGTACGTTGAAAGATAAGGGTTAAAGAATTTCGATAATGATATCTATAAATTTGATAATGTATAAACGAGAATATTATTAGATAAAAGACCTTGAATGTAGTGATGTGAATGTGCTGAATCATATTGACAAGGAAGAAATCATTGCCAACCATAGATCATTTATTATATTTATACCAACCATGGTTGGTAACTTCCCCAGCCTGTACTGGGTTTCTAAATTACACAAAACAGCACCATTGCTGGTTCTTCCACATGTACAGTACTATGAGTACATTGTAAAAAATATTGATAACTATACTATCTGCAGTTAAGGATGGACTGGCAAGATATTATGATACCGTTTCAAGGAGTGGTATCAAACATATGTGGATATTGCATCTTATTATACCTCATTACCCTACCAGCCAATCGGATTCGTGCAATTAGCGGTCGATATATTTGCATATTGATTTCCAGTGGTCAAGGGCGTAATATTCTGCAGATAAAAACAACTGTAACATTATCTGCTCAACAAAGAGTTATGTTCTATGTGAATAATTTTAACCGGGAGACAACCATCAAACAACACGACTGCAACGGTCGATTGGTCCAAACGTAGTCACCGCACTGTGTTCGTAGCTAATGCTGATAACTTGAATTTCGCACATGTTTTAGAATTTGTTGGCATCAAGGTTTTTACTCTATGTGTCTAGTACATACATCTGTGTTGCATTGAATTGTTCATTTAACCGGAAATGTGTTGTTATATTTCGTTTTACTAGTTATTATGGAATATAAATACGTATGAACCATAATTAGAGAAGCGTGATGAAACAGTTAGTTGTGAATGGAGACAATTTTCGATGTTGTCATGGGAAACTTGAGCAGGAGAGATCTTGTGATGCAGCCTTTTACGAAACGTTTATATGAAGCATTTAATAACTAATAAAAAGCATAATGAAGCTATATCCTTCAATTTTATAAATTGAAATATCGATGTTATTTCCATAAACAATCTAAAATTTAATACTGCTACTCTACTGATATATCCATCTAAACTGGAAGTTAAAGACAAATTTATTCAGACTTTGCTGCTTCATATTTTGATATTTACCTTGAACTTGACAATACTGGTCACCTTTCTACCAGACGTTATGATAAAAAAGATGATTTAAATTTCAACATATACTTTCTAAACCTTGACAGTAAATCATTCCAGCCTATGATACACCTTTTATTTGTCCATTTTGTGTTCTTTAATGTAGAATAAATAAGACAATTTCAATGTATACAGGACTAGGAATGTCTATTTTATCAATGACACTTTGTGTTTATTAATAGTACTTTACATGTAAAAGGATAAAACAATGCTGAAATCTTTACATTAGTTTTTTTGAACAAGTCATTGTCAATGACATAGTCTCAAAACTAGTATTTTAGTGACTGTCGATTATAAACAATGAAAGATGTAGAAATAAATTATAATTAAATATTTGGGGAGTATTTAGCATGTTAAAAATATAGTGTTACTTCACATGACAAGTTCATCTATATAAAGATTGTGAACCACTGCAAGACCATGACACCTCTCCAATTGTGTTCAGATAAAGTGACACCTTCTAAACATATCATTCTCTTATCATACAAAATAGGTACAATCCAGACATAGACTAGTGTTTTGTTGGATAAAACAGTCAGACCATTTTTAATCAAATCACAAACAAACAGACGTTCATCATTAACCCATTGTGTGTAATAATCATAAGTTTGAATGAAATCAGTACAGGTACCCCTGTGGAACAGGTGATGTTCAAATTTTGTGATTTCATTTGTTATTAATGGAAATTGCATTGAAATCCACAAATACGTCAACATGCAACCCATGTCTTGTGTTTTTGTTATTTAAATCTGTAAAAAAATATCTCTGAGAAGCAAGCAGTACATTTGTTAATAGAAAATGGTTGGTAGTCTATTTTGAATCAAAATGTGAAACAAAATGTATTAGTAACCCAACATGACTTTATGTCAATGCCAAGTTTGAATGAAATTGGACAAGACATACCTGAGAAACAGTTACTGACATTTTCTAATGTTGATTATTGGTGTTTTGTGTAACAAAAACAATCACCAGTCAGTTGAAATCATCATTCTAGTCATTCGCAGAAGACAAAGCCTGAGATTACCCACTACAGTGCTCAGAGGAGTTAATTCTAGCTCTCTAGTCATTTTTTAAGAGACAAAGCAGATTACTCATTTTTATTAGCATTATATTACCAAGATCTTTAGCATACATCAGAGTTCAAAAGCTTATAAAGATACGACTTTCTATGAAGACAACTAAACGTACTAGCAAAATGTCATGTCATCTTTTTTCTTCCCCCAGTGCATCCACAATAAATACAGCCTTTTATCTGGGTTTAAATAAAAAGCAGAATCAATTTGTTGCTTTTCTGTAATCTAGATTTTGTCAGAGGTACATCAGATGGCATTATAATCTATAGACCTATATTGACTGGTGCAGATTGGACATTGACTGGTGCAGATTGGACATTGACTGGTACAGATTGGATATTGACTGTTACAGATTGGATATTGACTGGTACAGATTGGACATTGACTGGTACCGTTTGAGTATTGACTGGTAGATTGGATAATGACTGGTACAGATTGGACATTGACTGGTACTGTTTGAATATTGACTGGTACAGATTGAATAATGACTGGTACAGATTGGACATTGACTGGTACCGTTTGAATATTGACTGGTACAGATTGGACATTGACTGGTACAGATTGGATATTGACTGGTACAGATTGGATATTGACTGGTACAGATTGGACATTGACTGGTACCATTTGAATATTGACTGGTACAGATTGGATAATGACTGGTACAGATTGGGCATTGACTGGTACCGATTGAATATTGACTGGTATAGATTGGATATTGACTGGTATAGATTGGATAATGCTTGATGTTCAGCCTTTCATCTGCCTTTATATGATTGTCGTAATTTGTGCCAATATTTCATAAGTGGTTCCCTTTTTCCCCATATCTGTTTGTGTCCGTATTTTACATAGTACCTAAAAAGAAAGAAGAGAGAAGTATCATTAACAAGAGAGGTATTGAAAAACAGGGAGGCTATTTTTCATGATTTGAAATTGGAATTACATTTTATTTTTCTTTGTGATAAAAAGAAACCAGGTTTTTAAGTTACACTTACAGATTATACAGTTGACTTCACTCAGCATAAATAAAGAGTACATAGTGCACATACAACCAAACACTCCGGTTTTAGACTTTAGAATTCCTCATCATAAAAAGTAACATTTTTCAGATAGATGATTCGAGTGCCAAAATTAACTTTTTACTTTCATAACAAAGCATAATTTGTTCTATACTTTTTTCACAAATTTTGATCAAAATCTGCATCAAATCTGGATTTGGTCCAAAATTAACAAAATAAATACAGAAAATTAAAGAACAATTTTTAAAATGTTACATCAAAGTTATTGCAGGAATAATGACTGCATTCAAAAAAATTAAAACAGTATAATACATCAGGCAAAATGTTTGAGCATAAGACCTTATATTTGCTGCATATTCAAACCCAAAAAAAGAAATCACTGTAAAACAACAAAACTAAAAGTATTATCTAACTTGCCAAGTGGTTCTTTATGATAAAAGTTTCCCCATTAGATACCATTACACAAATCAGAAACTTCCTTGTCAACTGACAACCCAAAACAATCTTCTCACAGTTTGAAAATGACATTACACATGTTTGAAAATGACATTACACATGTTTGAAAATGACATTACACATGTTTGAAAATGACATTACACATGTTTGAAAATGACATTACACATGTTTGAAAATGACATTACACATGTTTGAAAATGACATTACACATGTTTGAAAATGACATTACACATGTTTGAAAATGACATTACACATGTTTGAAAATGACATTACACATGTTTGAAAATGACATTACACATGTTTGAAAATGACATTACGCATGTTTGAAAATGACATTACACATGTTTGAAAATGACATTACACATGTTTGAAAATGACATTACACGTGTTTGAAAATGACATTACACATGTTTGAAAATGACATTACACATGTTTGAAAATGACATTACACATGTTTGAGATCTAGTTTCACTCATTTCAAAATGCCTGATTGTAGTGCATTTTGAAAACTACAATCTTGTATAAAATCAAACTACACCTACTAAAATCTGGTTTTGGACATGTCATAACCTGGTTTTCTGATTTTAGTGTTTCTTACAACTAAAATAGTCAACAGTCGTCCATCTTTGATCAGATGACAAAATTATTGTATGTGTGCAATGATGTACAGTCTAAATATAAAGATTTTAATAGAATAGAATTTATTATAAAAAGCAAAATGGCTGCCAGTTGGCCATATGGAGTTGATTTTACGAAACGAAGAACGTGCATCAGCTACCCGGAACAATAGTGGTTGAACCTTCTACTAAGTTTGAAGTAAATTGGGCAACACATGCTCGAGTTCTGGTTCTGGACATAAAAAATACTTGTCTTTAGTGTATTTTTACTCCAAAAATGGTCGCCAGCCAACCATCTTTGATTCATTCATAAAATCATCATATGTGCATGTATTTCAGTCTAAGTGTTAAATAAGTATGTGCAAGGTTTGAAGAGAATCGGCAAAGTATGTCTGAAATACAGTTCTGTGCACACACACATGCTCACACAGAGATATGAACAAGGACTGATTAGTGAAACAATCATAAACAATCTCTAATGATCTTACCAGCCAAAAAGAATTCCTGCTAGATGGCCTGCATGATCAAAGATTCTCCATCTTAGTAAAATACCGGTAGTCTCCAAGCCAATGATGGCTTTCATACCCTAGGAAAGAAAAGCAATATATTATGTGTCTCGCAACTATATATTTATATATATTCTGAACGTCTAGATGAACATGTCACATTTGCAATATTAAATAGCATGGCATAATGCTATAAGAAGTCATTCTTACCAATTGATAATACACAATTTATAATTTCATGAATTCAGGTAAGGTTGCAACAACAAATAAATTTGACATTAAAACCACATACTCACCAAACTAGCAGGAAACGTGAAGAATGGTAAAAATATTATTTGAAGTCTTGAGTCTGGATATGAAGTACAAACTGCACCTAATAAAGCAAAAATGGCCCCAGACTAGAAAAGAAAATTACTAAATTATGCAAATTATCTAATCAATATGCAAACAAATGTCATTATTTTTGACTGCACGTATACAGGTATATTTCATAACTGACGTCAGAAATAATTATGCAAATGAGCTAATCAATATGCAAAAATTAGTTAGTATAATAATAATAATAATAATAATAATGTTTATTTGCCATAGATTACATAAAAAATAACAATACAGCAATAAATAATAACTAATAAATATTGATAAATAATAATAATATTAATCTATGGCTGGGAAACAGAAATTAGCTCATGCAGAGCTAGTCTAGTCTATTTCCCATCAAAATATATTTGTAAATAGCTATTTATTAAAAAGGGCAAGTATCAATTCAAGTTATACAGCAATATGATGTAATCTGGATTAATAGAATATGCATTAAATAAATAAATAACAATAAATGTTAAGTTTTAAAAATACTCACTGCTCCAAGTGAAGGATGGAATCTACCGATAACCAATTTATTGACATAGCTAAAAAATGATGACCACACACCTGAAAAAATAAAATTAATGTTTGTGAATGTATTTTACTTCACAGCAATAGGTATCACCTTTATGCTTTGAATCAATACCAAATCTCTTGAAATCATCCCAACATTGTGAAACTGTAAATAAACACACATTGATTAATGTGCCCCAGTTAAAACTTACCTGCTGTAAGGTACATGGCTAGAAACTGTTCTGGACCAAACATTTCACTCACAGAAGAAGAAAAACTCCACAATACATACATATTTACTAGGATATGCCACACGGTAAAATGACTAAACGTAGCTAGCACCATAGGTATACATCTCACACCTGTCAAGATGAAAAAAATATAATACATATATTGAATTTGAGAAAACAACTATCCTCCATCTAATATATAGTATATGCATAGCTCTGTAACCTATGGCGCTGAGCGCTACATTAATTTACACTATTATACTCAAGTTATTGTACTTTGTTTGACCCTTGATTGGTCCACCTGATCAATGAAAACACAAACGATGCATGAAAACCTAAAGTCTGTATTTTGTTAATAACTTTATTATTGTACATTTAAGACGCTGGAAAATATAGGTCAGCTAAAATATCGCTTTCATTTTCAGAACTAGTTTGCCATCAGCCGCTGTCAGTGCTGTATTCAAAATTTGCATAATCAAACACACCACACGTGTACATGCCATTGATGCAAATTCTGATTGTTTGTTTCTTACTCGAACTATATCAAAATTGTAACTGCTTTCTAACTAAAAGCTATAAAAACTGTATTTGTGCAGTCACATTACGAATATCTTCAGGATATCATGTACCCAGTAGTAATGACCAGAAGATGAGATAAACTTTAAAAGATCAGCAGACGGAACACTGTCGCCTTGACTGAACTCGTTGATGAAATCAGTGATAAAGTTCTGATTGTTGGTAATTGTCGGGAGACACTAGACACCAAGTCTGAGAATCCCAAATATTACGAAAAGGGGTGTAACTTCCGGGGAATTTAATTACACAAATAAACAAGATCAAGTTCAGTGATAGATTCCAGATTTAATAGTAATTTGCATATCCTGTCATGTGTAATCTAACCATCTGACGTTAGTGTATTTATAGTCTTAAGTTTTACTGAATGAAGCAGTTATCGTATGGTCGTAGTCTTGTCTATGACACCTTATCACTGTCTCGTTGCATAGTTATTTCCGAGCTACTGAATTCTCTTCTGCCCTACTCCCACATTTGGTGCAGAGACCAGGATTGAAGAAACAATCATGCCAGAAACAAGAGGAGAATCAGTACAAGATCCAACGAGGAAGAGGGCTGCTCAACGAAGTCAAATTACAAAACTTATCAAGAAAGCCGAACAGATCGTTGAGACGGAAAACCCAAACCAACCCCAGTTGGATGTTTTGGAAGCTATGATAACCGGTATCGAAGAGAGGATCCAGAAAATACAGAAAGTAGACGACACGATTCTAGAAACTGCACCTAACCAAGACACGTATGACCAACTTTACAAAACCGGTGACTACAACATTAGCGTAGTGGAGCGCCTAACATGTTTCAAATGTTATGTGCGAAGAACGCAGCAACCCATCGGCACCCATGAAAAACCCAGCAGATATATCGGTAACATCAACACCATCAGATGCGCCAACAACATCACATCGAAAGGAAAACCTGCCCAAACTAGAACTTCCTAAATTCAATGGTGATTTTATGAAATGAACGACTTTCATAGATACATTCAAAGCGTCGGTTGACCAAGATGACACACTGGAAGACGTCCAGAAATACTAATATCTAATGGCGCAACTAAAAGACGAAGCAGCGAGAACAATAGAAGGTCTATCACTCACCTATGCTAACTATAAAGAAGCGTTGCAGTTGCTGAAGAATTGTTATGGCCAACCACATAAACTTATAGCCTGTCATATGGCAGCGTTATGGCAACTACCGAAACCAATTAACAGCCCTGTGAGTATGCGTTCTTTCTATGAGACTTTGGAAACTCATACACGGGGGCTGAAGGCATTAGGAAAGTTAGGGAGAGCTGCTGGTCCCTATTGTGCTTGACAAACTGCCACAAACCATCAAACTTCAAGTTTCACGGGAACACGGCGACCAATCGTGGACAATAACTGATCTGAAAACAGCCATGTTAAAAGAACTACAAGCAAATCAAGCCACGATCGATTCGACCACCGAAATGCACTACAACGAATCAACCACGGCAACTGCCACTAACCTCCATGTGGGAACTGGGCCACACCAGAAACGCACTGAAAGTTTCCGTATCAGAAATGACTCGACTGACAAGCCCGATACAACTCATGTGAAAGTTACACCAACATCGGAATCTATATTGCTGAAAACGGCAAAGGCAACCGTTGCCGTAACCATGTAAACATGAAAGTGAATCTTTTGTTGGACAAAGGGGCTCAAAGAACATTTATTACAGAATCAACCGCTCGTCACTCACGAAGACTGTGAAACTGAACATCTCAGCTTAGGCAGTTTCGGGAAAACAAACAATAGAATACGTGCGATTAAATCCATAGACATAGCTCTTATGACAAACACTGATGAGATTAAACTGAACTCTCTCATTGTGCCGACAATAAGTTCACCAGTACACAATCATGTTCCAGCTACGGTCCACAAACACAGCTACCTGCAAGAGTTACAACTTGCTCCGCAAGTACAATCAGACTTAATCAAAATTGACCTACTAATCGGGGCAGACTATTATTGGTCTATAGTTGAAGACTGCGTCATTAGAGGTCGTGGACCTACCGTGGTTGCATCCAAGTTAGGATACCTACTGTCCGGACCGTCTAAATTGAACCACATTTCTGTATTAAACGCGAATGTCATGAAAATGTTGACTAGCACTGAGTCAGAAGAACGTTTAGTCACTAAATACTGGGACTTAGAGTCCATTGGCATTTCGGCCACTAACGACCAGAAAAACGAGGTGAAACGATCATTTGAACAATATAGAGATACCAAACTCAAACGTGACGGCAACAGATATATTGCGGGACTACCATGGAAAGAAAAAAATCCACCCTGAAATCGACAGCACCGTCTTAGAACCGCCACCGTCAGTACGCAGATTGCAGAGAACTGCCGCCGCTATTGCTGACTTGAAAATACAGGACTTTTATGATCATTCTAATATTGACTTTTGAACATTGTTGATTTATTGTCGGTAGTTTTAGTATCGTTTATTAATCGTTTGATTTCCATATTTATATATTTGTATTTCGTTTATCATATTTATATTGATGTTGTGTTGAGTTTACTGTCATATATTCGTAATATTTGAATATTCATTATTCAATTTTTATTCTACTTAATTTCTGGCCGCCCGGAGGATGTCGGGAGACACTAGACACCAAGTCTGAGAATCCCAAATATTACGAAAAGGGGTGTAACTTCTGGGGAATTTAATTACAGTAATAAACAAGATCAAGTTCAGTGATAGATTCCAGATTTAATAGTAATTTGCATATTCTGTCATGTGTAATTTAACCATCTGACATTAGTGTAATTATAGTCTTAAGTTTTACTGAATAAAGTTATTGTATGGTCGTAGTCTTGTCTATGACACCTTATCACTGCCTGGTTGCAAAGTTATTTCCAAGCTACTGAATTCTCTTCTGCCCTACTCCCACAGTAATTCTCTCCCAGTACATTAAAAACCTAGACAAAGACTGAAACAGCAGACTGCAGGTGGTGCAAGGAATGCTGAACCTGATGAACACAAAGCGACATTCAATGCAAATGAGTGTTGTCAGGACCAAACCCAACATTATACAAACGCAACTTTAGACTGCTCTATTTTTTTTATCTTTTTAGTTCACATAAGGCATCTTGTACAATACCTTCGCTGTATGATGTACTGCAATGGTTGCCAAGCAACCGAGGTAGTTCATTCACAGAAAATGTATACAAGTATATACGGCCTGACAAGGTGGTCCTAGTCTGAAAATATTTTGTTTTTTTTCTCAAATCAGAAGTGGGACAGAAAATTGTCATATCTTTGGGAAAAAAAAATGAAATAAAAATAATAATTAAGTTTTTTTTATGAAATGGAAGACAATTTTTGGCTACTACTACCAAAGTCCCTGCGACTCCTTGTCTTAAGGACCACATTGTTTTTATTGCTAAATATTCTATAGTGCAAGCCTTAAAGCGAGGGAGTCGTTGCCTGCGCATGCGTCAGGTGGCCATAGTGTGTCATTGTTTACAAACAAGTGTCTACCCACGAGCCTTTGCGTTCTTAGCGTGTATTGTTATCGTCGCTTGGGACTCAATTCCCGCACGTGACGACCCTCTCGCTTTAATCAATTCATGTGTGCGGTTTACAGTTGTGAGCACTTTTATTTGGTGCTATATAAATTACAGGATGTCAGAAAAACTTTTGTACAACACAGTCATGGTGCTCACCGAGTAGACAATAATCAGCTACAATAATCAAATTTATCCATAATTTGCAAGACTATATCTGAGTTAAATATTACATAGTCTGTGAGGGGTACATGGCACTGTAAACTACAGATATGACACAAAATCACACACACATTCTTTATGTTGACACTTAATGATATTATGTTTAAGTTTTACTCACGCGATGCTGGATTACAAGCAAACCAATTCAACATAGTGTACTGAAGAGCAGGAACTTTCCAGGCTGAAAACACTAATACATTTGCTGTTATTATTCCTAGTGCAACACACTGTCCTTCTGGTAACTTGTTGTACCAATCATTTATCTGAACGTGAAAAAAAAAAAAAGACATACCAATAAGAGAATATACCAGTACACTAACAAGACTGAACCTCACTTGCATGACTCTAAGCTGATTCAAAATTGAGATATATGAAGTAAAATATATATTGTTGTTCTTTCAATTTCTTTATAGTAATTATTTATGTTAATACGAAATACACATGAAAGTTACATCTATGTTATGCAAAGATTGTATATTTGAACCCAAGCTCACTCAGCTACAAACCAGCTTTGAGAATACCATCTTTCTCAGAGTATCCAACAATGCTCACAAAATCATCCGCCTATTTTCAAACAATTTCGGGAACTATTCAAGTATCTGAGATAATGACCACCCAAATTTGACAAAAATACTTGATATACATATTGTTCATACTCCTGAATTGTCCAGAAACATGCCTTCTAGAAGACATAAATAATAGACTGCCAATTTGAAAATTATGCTGCTACAATATTTTGTAATTAGGTATCACTGGCTTACAAAAATTAATTGCTTGTGAGAAAATGGCTAACAGCATGTTGTCATGATTTGAGCATCACCTGTTTTATGTGTTCAAGAATACAGCTCCAGCAAGTGACTATCATAATATTATGCAGAATCTATCACATCGAGCTGCCTGGCAGTTTATTTGCATAAATCATAGTGATGGACATTTGTATTTATAATACAGTGAATTTTAGGAGGGCATGAACATTTTTTTTTTTATAAAATATTTATAAATGTTTCAAAAATCAAATGATGCATGGTTGAAAACAACTCAAACAATCAGAACACAATAACGGATGCATTTCAGGAAACCAGACAATCATTGAAGGAAACCCACAATGTTACCAAGTGGCTAACTTAGACAATGAAAGTGTATTCTTTGGATTAGAATGAAGCCCAATGGTCTTTTATGTAAATGTTTTAGAAATATTTCATAAATTTCCATAAAAAAAAATTCACGCCTTTATGAAATTCACTGTAGATGTCAGAGCAGTATCAACTTTATAATGCATTAAAATAAATCTGTGTGAAAATGTGGTATTGTTGAAGGATTGCATTTTCTACCAACCTTTTCTCTGAAATTACCAAATTTAGGGGTTCTGAATATGTCATCATACATTGATGATAATGGTTTGCTCGCAGCTTTTCGTAAGCCTTCGTATTGCCATATTGCTGCACCAGTAAATGTGACACCTGTGAACTAGCATTTACAACAAACATTAATTCTGGTGACAGGTGAACATGAAATCACTCATTAGAAAGAATAAGTGATTATCGCATCATTACACATAATAGCTACATCGTTCATGACATGAATATCATGATAACAAAATTATCGTTTTCCTGTTATTCAGGTGATGGCTATACATAGTTCTTTAAGTCAGTAACACAAGGGTGGCACTAAGCATTACATTCATAATACTAGGATACTATTGAAGGTTATGCAGAAACAAAATACTGCAATTGCATTAATTATTCACTGAGTTTATAATTTTATGCCAATGAGTAAAATGAGCTTAATAAAATCCATGTTTAAATGTAAAATTACAATAGAATTCATTGTTTAACTGGCAGATCCATGAATTTAAAATCTATTGAATACATTTGTATGATTATAAGTTCTAGTGAAAATTGATGATTCTACAGTATTGAATTTGAGCCACCTACTATGACTAATACTAAAGGAACCATGCTGCATTAATACTTACACCAACAGCAAACAGAAATGGTCTCAACAGATTACTGTATGGCACATGTAATGGTTCCGCATATTCAACAGCAATGTTATCAAAAGAGTCCTTTTTAAGATTGGCTTTAACAATTTCATTTTTTGGTTGTGATGAACCAATACCATCGGCCTGTTTCGGTGAAAACCCTTTTGTGTCTGCTTTCCTTTTAAAAAATCTGCATTGCTGAAATCTGAAAAAAAAAAATGTCTGACAGTTGAAGAAAGGTGGTCATAAGCTGTACCCTGGTCAATATATGTCCCATAATACCAGTAACACATACAGTGTTAGACTGGCAAAGTCGGGACTTCTTTTTTGTTTTACAAAATGAATATAATTAATTGTCAATTTAGCCTTTTTAACGTGATCGCGAAAACTAGCGTGACTGCCGCAAGAAATCCCAACTGAACGCATCTGCAGGCAACATCCTGCGTTGGAGTGAAAACCAGAGCGAAATCACTCCAGTGATTATGCTAATTAAAAGATGTTGACTAGCATTTGCAACAAATCTGAGTGCATCTGTGTAAGTCATCTCTTTATCTATGTTAATGTACGTGACCTCTCACGTCTGAGTTACCGGCGATTTCGAAACACTGCTTATATACATCAATGATCATGGACAATTAAATCGACTTGTTTTCAGTAAACATGGATGAAAGTATCACCGTTGCACCTAAAAAATGTTAAAATATCCAACTTTGCGATCGAATCGAATCAACCATTAAAAGGTCACGTTTATTTCCACACACCCACTCATGAATAATCAATGACATCATGATTAATTAATATCAGTGAAATGCCCCCAGATGCGTCCAGTCGGTATTTCTTTAGTGGTCAGGTTAGTTTTCGCGATCACACTAAAAGGACTAAAAAAACAATTAATTATTTCTTTTTGTAAAACAAAAAAGAAGTCCCAACTTTGCCAGTCTAATACAGTGTATGTCAAATACATTGTGTGCATGATATTTGAACATGCTCTGTATGACGACCACAGCCTTAACATTCTCATAATGCCATATTTTTTCACACTGAAATTTGTAAGTAACATTTTCCACAATACTATGTAATCTGTTTGTTGACTTTTGGTCAAGTGGAAATAATTTCTCATGGGATACTAGTCTGAATACATTTCTTTTGAAAAATAGACAAACTATGCTTTATGTTGTGAATGGTAACATTAAAAGTGACACACGGGTTAAAGGTGGCATGAGGGTTAAAGGTGACACAAGGGTTAAAGGTTACACAAGGGTTAAAGGTGACACTGGGGTTAAAGGAGAATGTGACCTTCTAGTAACAGTAACAGGGTATGCTTATTCTCAAATTAGTTGGAATTAATCGCTTTACGTTTTAATGACCCAGAATGACTAAATATACTCCCTAACTAATAAATGATAAGAAATAATTTCAATAATGTAATTTGGACATAACTAGTTGGCCCACTTTGTATTGAGCACAGAATCCAATAAATCAGGCTGGAAATGGTTCATTTTGTCGGCACAACAAACCTTCTCCTTTCATCTATATAAATATTAATAAGTTTCAATGGCTGTTGAATCTATCCAGTGAATCAATGAGCACAATGCGACAGTTATTTAAAATGTTCCAATGTTATTCAACTAGCCAATCGAAACCTCTCATTTTGATTGTGAAATTTATAAATATTTATAAAGGTGAAGGAAATTGTTTTGTTGAACCATAACAACAGTAATGAGAACAAATTAAGTAATTATTGTGATAATTTTTTGCAAAATATATAAAAAAATATATTTAAAAAAAAATCACAATTCAAAGAAAATAGAAAATCATAGTAAATCACAAAACGGCAATTAATGTTATTAATTAAGGTCTTATGTCACCAATTAGCCTATCAGCGTTCGTAGCCTCAAATATTATGGTTGTTGTTAGCCAATGGGTTTTTTTTCACCACGTTTTATCTGATATGCGATGTATGATGGCGTACTTCAATTACATCAGCTGTTAGACTTGTGTGTGTAGCTTTGTTTATTGACAAGTACCAGTGACCTGTGGATCTGGCCAACTCTTGATTAGACACTTCTGAGAATATTGATATGTAAAAAGCCTGACAAATCTGTGTTTTGTTTACAACTATTTCGTAGGCGTTTGACCTGGTCAACATGTGTTTTTCTGGTCAGAATTCTACTACATTACATGTGGTTTCAGAAAATTGCAACAATATTTTGAACTTCATAATTCACAGTGGTACTGTAAGAGCTGGCGCAAGAATGATAGCGCCCCCACAGTTCAACATTCTCAATGCAATTATGAATATCAAGACATTCTCACTAACATGTACTCTCACCATATAATTTTTGGGAATACATTGATTAGTACACAAACCATTCCTATGAACTAAGTTAATAGTAGACTAGTTATGTCTCGAATGGTGAGGACAATGTCACTGTTTATCCGGGATATTAGTGCTGGTCTCGAATATTTAGGGACTGGTTCAATGGTGAACTAGTCAGAATAAAAGTATTTAGTTTATTTCCATTGTACACGTGATCGTTTTAACGCCTGTGTTGTTTTTTTCATTGCAAGCGACCTTGGCGTCAGCTGACTGATAGGATGAAGATGGAATGTGATGTGAGTAAAAAAGTGTTTACTCACGTAAGTGTTCCTTTAAGTGATAACTTGATTTGTGTAGGCCTCAATACAATCCTGGAAAGTACACCTGGCATCTTAATAGAATATTAAAACGCTGGAATTACTTAAAATCTGTGAACATATCAAAATCCATGTGTCCTTGTTGAAATGTCATAGGTCACGAAACAAACTACTTCCGGGTAGAACATCTTGCATTGTGGGAATTAAGGGTGGACGTAGCAAAGATGGCTAACGCGAAGGTGCTGTGGGAAAAAATAGGTGCTTGGGACCAGAAGACGGACCCGAGAGCGCCACTAGGCGACACACAGAAGGACAGTTTCATGGATATAACTTCCGTTGCATCAAATAGGCCGTTGCCGATTGAGGTTTGTGGTTTTTCAATTTTAATCTGGTTGGTTGTTGACGTGGAACTCCACTGTACTAAGTAACATGAATGATGTTGTTGAACGTGTTGTTTTCCTATGAACACCCAAAGCACGCGTCGACAAGGGAGCTTGCACTGTTAATGCAGACTTGGAGGAATACTAGTATACTTGGAGACGTGGATAAACAACTATATTTTGAATGTTATTTTCTTATCCAATATAGATCTTGTTTCGATTAATTTTATATTCATTTGGTTGGATCGTGATCCGGTCAGAGCTTGTACTTTTAATAAGTGGTAGGCACAGGTGTCGCTTTTATTTATTTATTTGTGACATTGCTGAACCTTGTCACACATTGTGTCCTGATACGTGACTGATGTATACTCGAATTATCAATGATCTAGACAAAAAACTATGAAAATGTATGACTGATACATGCAATAGAGCTAGGATATCATTTGTAATATAGTTCACGGTAAGTTTATGCCCTGTCAACTGAATGCCACTGGACTTTTGAAAGCCACACACAAATCAGTGAAATGCCAATATAATACTCATGCTCCATTCTGTATTCATAGCTGCCACTGGATGACATCAGTAGTTTCCCATCAACATGCTCCACTGGTTTCTCACTATCAGGAAGTGAAGAAGACATATTAACCGAAGGTTTTTCTGCACTTCAAATGAAAGAAGAAAAAATTGACAATGCCCAGCAGGTAGGTCACTCTCTTGGACTTCAAGAACTAACTTTATTTGTTTTTAAATATATTCCAGTAATGCTTATACAGTAGATTATAACTGAACTATAAATTATTTTTTTTATATCTTCTTTCAATAATTAATATTTGTGTTTGGATTGCATGCAATTAGACTAGTATTTTAAAAATATTGTGCTCTAAGGTTGTGAATGAAATAGATTCATTCACACTCAAGTATCTATAAATTTACTCCACAATTGAATGAGTGAAATATTTGGGCCAAAATTTTGTTGAAACTGAAACCGATCATCTTGACCAGTAACCAAGTCTAGTAAAACTGAGCACTTGTTTTTTTGTTTCCAGTTCTTTGCATGGTTTTCTAAAGTTGAAAATGAAATGGAAAATGCAGAGGAGATCTCCTACAGGTATGTAACTCATGAAATATTTGGTTACCGTCTTCTTCAATAGCCAATAAATTAAATAAATTGTACTAGATTGCCTTTACCAGACTTGAACATGACATCAAGACCTGAAAAATGATTCAAGTGAGAATCTGTTCAGCATAGTATTACATGTATAAGCACGCTTTCTTTTGCCTAATAAAGTTGACTATGATATTATAAATTCTGGTGGGGTGTATTAATTTTTTGTGGTTGATAGAAAAAAAAACTAAATAAAAAAATATAGAAGAAATCCAGGAAAAAATGATACACCAACATCACCAATGCATGGATAAAAAAAAGTCGCTCACAGTCTTTCTACAGTTTCCCGAACTGGAGTTTCTAATCTAATGGTCACAACTAGGCTGTGTCTCTCATACACTGTATGTAATCACAGTCAGTATTCAAACTTCAACAGTTGAACATCTGAAAACATTAAATATTGGGAAGTTAAGGTCACAACAGCAAGGTGCATGAGTATCTAATTTTTTTTATAATTGTAGGTCACACCTTGAGCAGTTTGAGGAATATAGTGATCAATGTGACCAAGTATTGGAAGAAGTGTCCAATGCGTTGAAACACCTAGAAGACCTGAGGAGGCAGTACATGTTTGTGGCAACGAAGACTAATGCACTTCACGAAGCATGCGAACAGTCAGTGGAAGAACAGGTTAGTAATGATTTATGCAGGCCACTCAGTATCATCCTGTGAGATAATTATTTTTGTATTTTACGTTTGAATTGCCAGATGCTACTTGTTAACAAATGGACATGTTACAAAATAAACACAATTGTAGCAGGTTGTACAGACTAGCTGTTTTCTGGGTTTGCTAAGCTTTGTTAATTTATTTATTTGAATTGACAGAAAGGATTTTAATTCTGGGCAACTTTATATTTTCATACTCTCAGATTGAGAAGTGGTGTAATGTTAATCTTTCTGATGTGTGACTCATTTTTATCTTGTCGATTATATCATCGTAGATGAATGTCAATATATGAGGGGGAAATGTTTGTTGTCATCATTGTTGTTATGTCATCGTTGATTCTGTTGTAAAACTTTTTTATGTGGTTAGAATAACACTATTTATTCAATCCTTTTCAAATTATATTAAGCAGTTTAGGATCTCGGCCAAGTTTGATTTTGGTTAGGTTCTATGTATATTTCTCAAAATACTGGTTAAATTTCACTTAAAATTGTCTTCTTCTCGTGGTTATAATAACTCAATCAATTTTTATCTGATTACCTTAAAGTATGGGACGCACCATGCACCACGCACCATGTTACACTTGAAATGGAACAGTGAAATGACAAAGGTCACTCTGTACACAAAAAAACAATGAGCACGTGGCTACAAAGTAGCCGTTTGGCTGCACTGCCTTTTCTTATTTTTCTAGGCAGTACCGTCAGACACAAAATAAATATTTCACACACACACATTATTTTGTACGATTGTTTCACTTTGTTTTTTTGTCAAGCACTTTCATCTATAATGAAAATGTGACACGAAGTCAATCGCCCGAACAATAAAAAACGTCAATTTATGCACCATAGGGCGGTTCACTTAAATGGCGTCATAGAATAAAATCATTTTCCAAAATAGCGGACGCATGGTCGATGCAACCCCCTGTGCACCAGCGACGAAAAGCCCTGTACTAAGCTTTCCATCATGGAAATTCGTAATCGATATGCTGACCGATGGATATTTATCGACTAAGTAATAATCATGCCCAAAATCTGTAGTGTCGTGGGGGAATGATTTTGTTCAGGTCAAATCTTGACCGAACCTGAACTGCTTGCTAACTGAAAGGCTGTGATGACGGAGATTGTCTGCTATTGCGGCTACACCAAGTACTGATAACATAAAAACTCAAACAAAATGTATATTTTTAATGTCTTCATGCAATATATATTCTGAGTTATACACTTTATTCTGGCCCGCGAATTAATAAGATACAATTTTAAACATGTTTTTGAACACCACAAATTAAAAGGATACATTTAAAAATTAGCGTTTGAAAATGAATTGGGTGTGCGAATTAGAGATCACGAATTAATCGAGTTATTACGATAACATCTACAACAATCACAAAACATTGCAATTAACATCTAATTGAACATGAACATGTTGCCTGGCACAACAAATATTTTTTTTTTTTTAAATGTAGCACAAGCAGTGGAGTTATGTCTGTCGTCCGGCTGACTGTGTTTGCTGAATTTAGATTTTTTTGCTCAATTTATGATTTGATCATGATAATTTGCCAAATAATTAATACATGGACCTTTACTTTTATAGACGAGACTAGTGAACACAGCTGAAAGTATCAGTAATAAACTATCCTACTTCAATGAGTTGCAGAGAATGTCACATGTAAGTTGTATGTTATGTCACAGGTTCTTCTCATTGTTTCATTTCTGTAGCATGTGAATATAATTTAAGAATGTAGTTTAGCTTTCATTACAATTTTAGGAATATCTATACATATAGAAGTTTTAATAATAATTAAAATAACCTATTTAAATTAATTTTATGTAATGTCTATTACATACAGTACATTTTTAAAGTTCACTCTGAGATTGAATTCTAGGGACTTTTTTGTGAAATATTCAATTTTGTGAATTGTGAGAAATATTTGATTCACCCTATTTACTGTGAATAAGGAGGGGGGCATCAAATTGAAACATGCACTTTCTTGGGTGAATTCACGCATGTCAGAAGTCTGTAAAAAAAAGTCATCCTGCCATGACACAATTATCATCATAGGAAACACATTCATGTTTGTAAATAGCGCCACCACAGGTGAAATAAGGCAACATTTGCATTCATCCCAATACAGATTCAAAAAAATCATTCATACCCAGACTAATTTCCTCCTGCCAAAGTTCTCTAAAATGTTCACTACATTTTAAACCAACAGACAGAATATTATATTTTATATCTGGATCAATTAATCTGAATTACAAAAAACAAGAAAAAGTTTTTGAAAAGGACTATTCGGCTGGCTGAACTTGGCTTGTTTGTAATACAAGTTTACACCTGTAGTAAAAGGAATACAAAATGTTGTGAATAAATCTATCAATTTGAGTTCCAACAAAACTAATGTTCAATTGATCTTGTGAATTAATAAATATAATCCTGAGTGTTTTGATTTTTATCACTAGAAATTAAGTTCTCCACAGCTGTCTGTTACAAGCGACTCATTTGTCCCGATGTTAGCCAGATTAGATGAATGCGTAGCATATATCAATTCTAATGTAAGTAAACAATGTTTTATTCTCATTGAAAAAATTGTTGTTATTCTGTCTATTATTGTAATCGAATGTTTATGTAAACATACGTCAATATGAACTTGAAATGAAACTTGAATAAATCCCTCCAAAAAAAAACATTTTTGAAACATAACAGAGTTTCTCCAAATTGGCATTAACGTCACTCAGGTACAAGCCTATATTCGAAATAGCAGGAATCGTATGTGTACATTGCAAAAGTGAAATTGTATTGAACATTCTTAACGTAACATACACAAGCTGGAATACCGTACATTGCTGCTTGCATTTGTAATCTTTCTTTTTGCTAATATACTTTTTGTTCGTTTTCAGCGTAATTATAACGAATCTGCGGTGTATCTTGCCCGATTCAAGCATTGTTTATCAAAAGCTCTTAACCTCGTGAGGATACACGTGATGAATATTTTACACAACGCAACACAACAAGTATTACCAAAAAGGGTAATTATAGCATATTTGCTTTCTGTTCCCATGGCAACTATGACACTGAACTGCATGTTGATCACTGTGCTCATGTTACATAATATGAATTTATATATAATACATTATACTGTATGTATATGCTGTATCTGTGAAAGTGACACAGGCTTTTGTAAACCTATGTAAGCAGTGATCACTGAATATACTAACTTTTCCACTAAGAAATATTTATATTTTTGTTTGTATTGCTTTCTTCTTGCTCTAGGATGCAATCAACCCATCAGATAATGCCTTTACTTTATTCTATGGTAAATTTCGAACTAATGCTCCGAGGGTGAAATCATTAATGGAACAAATTGAAGAAAGAATTAGTAAAAGTCCAGAGTAAGTATTAAAGCAGGGGAGTCCATCACCTGCACATGTGTCAGATAGCCGCAGTGTGTCATTGTTTACAAACAAGCGTCTACCCATGAGCCTCTGCTTTGTGTTTTTAGCGCGTGTTGTTAGCGTCGCTTGGGACTCAATCAACTGATTGATTAGCATTTTAATAACCATTTTCCCATCAAAATTTTATTTGGAATTAATTTCCAATTGCCTTCAGGTCTTGATAAAAAATTGTTAAAAATTGAAAAATTATCTGGATTTATTTTATCAATGATAACAAAAGTTGAATTTGGCAATTAAACGGTTAATTGAACAGACTGATTCCATCGCTGACTCAGCTCACTCAACACCTCCCATCCCAAATCATTTCAATCATTTGTTTTCCAATATTGATGGCGAGAACAGCATTTGGCGAGAATCAGCGTAACGACAGGAAATTTCCAACTTCTAAATGTAATGTCATTTTCAACATAGAGGGCATACTTTCATTTGAAATTAAAGCATGAATAAAAAAGGTTTATGCTGCTGTTATTTTTGATTAGCACCATCATCTGTTCTTTTTGCACCTTGTGTCAGATTAATTTTATTACCAATATGGTAACAGCTCTTTCTACTTTAAATATTTGTATTAACGCAGGTCTGTTTGGCTAACGGTAAATTAAATTGATTAAATGTAATATAGTCTAGTGGAGGATATCGTAAAATTGTAGATGTAATGTGATCATTGTCGTGTTGGCACCATCAGGATTTACAGTACTTGTACAATTGTATCAAATTTGGCTCAGTGCATGAATTAGAAGAAACTTAATTTTAGTTATAGATGATGTGACAATGATCTTAGTGCAAGAATACTTTCTTGTTGAATTAGCCTCATCTTGAATTATTAAAAATTACTGGATGGCTATTTGACTTAGCTGAAAAAAAAATATATCCTGTAAAACGATGTTTAATTTTTTCAATAGATACACAACGTTATTGAATGATTGTCATCAGTGTTTCTTCAATCAAAGAGAAATCCTTCTCGGCCCAAGTATTTCAACAGCTATTAGTGAATTAGTTGCTCAGAATCTCAGAGATCATTGTGCTCTGGTAAGTAACAGCCACTGTGATTGGTAGAAGCATTGTCCAATCAAATTACTTGTAGGTATGCATCACTGATCCCAACCACGGTTTGAAAATCTTGCCTGATTTTGCTTGCTTGCTTGCCACTGCTATAACACTGTAGATGTGACGTTTCACTGTTCAGGTTCGGCGTGGTTGTGCCTTCATGGTTCGAATATGTCAAGACGAGTATCAATTGTTCTTCCATTTCTTTTCAAAACCAACAGAAAAACTTGAGTAAGTAGCACTTTTTTCTTCCTTTGCATGTAAAAATTCTCATTATAATATTTGATGTTTTTGAATTTGCACTTTGAGGAGATTTGATGTGTTTTTGGACTTGATGTGTGAATATGCTGGTATTTACTTTGTAAAGTGAGCACTAAGCTAGAGGGTTATAATAACTACATACAGGAGAATACTGTAATTTATCAGCTGCTGTTATTACTATGCTGGGCTTGAACTTCAGAGTTCAGAAGGAACCCAATTTCAAGGTCAAAATTGATAAAAATTGACTTGGTCTTATAGGAATGGTATAGGGACTATCAAAGACACCAAGCCAATTACCATAAAGTTTCCATGAAGTTCAAGTTCTTGTTATGATCTTCCTTTACCTTTGCAAATTTCCAATTAATACACAGTATGCATTTGTTTAAACAAATATGTTAAATACTGGTATTGATTGTGATCTATCTAGAATTGCAACGTTTGATTTTTTGACTGATAATACTTTACCAAAAAGTGCATATTCTCCAGCGTTCCAAAATGAAATGAAACCTGTTTCAACATGAATATATACTGTAGAATACTTTATTTTCGCTTGGAATTTATTTTCGCTATTTTTGCTGAAGGGATGATTCAGTGAAAATAAAATCCAGCGAATATACCTTTTTTTCCCTACATTTCACATTAAACTCATCAAAAATCAGTGAAAATAAATTCCATGCAAAACGCCCAAAAAGCCCTTTCAGCGAAAATTAATTCCAGCGAAAATAAAGTATTCCACAGTATGCAGCTGTGTACTACAACAATTTAAACAGATTAGTATTCATTGATGTAATTGATGGGATGCTCTCTGTCTATTTCATTAGCTTTTCTCCTCTGCTTTACATTCATTTACTGTGTTTTAGCCACTGGGCATTACTCAATCATATTCTAATCATTTTATGTCTACATCCATTCCTAGCGTGCTCCTTGAGAAACTGTGCAATAATTTATATGATGTTTTAAGACCTTTAATAATCCATGTTAATCACTTGGAGACGTTGGCAGAGCTTTGTAGTATTTTAAAAAATGAGATGATAGAAGATCATGTACAAAACAGTCGTAAGTACAATCTCATTTTTGTCATTGTCATATTATACGCTATGTCGGTCCATTGAAACAAAATCACTATTCTGAAATGAAACATTACTTTTCTATGGTCATTCTCATTACCACGTATAGCTTACAGCCATGCTTGATTTTTGGATGTATTTGTATTTTGTGATTTTACAAATGTACACTGGAATTAACAAACCCATGCTATAACACGATTGGATCAAGTTCGGCTTGTATCGCTTTCTGTGAAGTGTTCAAGAATGAAAATATGTACCGGTAACTGTAACTGCTGTTTGTTGACTCCAGGGTACAATAAGAATCAAGATGCATCTAAATATTGAGACATTTGCAATGACCAGATGAGAGAGACACCCTTTGACCGGACTCTGAACACATAGCATGTTAATTATATCATGTGGTTTACAAATTTGAATTGCAGCTCATGAACTTGTAGCGTTTGAGAATATTGCCAAGCAGATGTTAGAAGATGTACAAGAAAGGCTAGTTTACAGGACACATATATACATCCAAACAGATATACTCAATTACAAACCAGCACCTGGTGATCTAGCATATCCTGAAAAGCTTGAAATGATGGAAGTAAGTGTAAAATACTCATCACATGTCCACGGTTCATGTAACGGTTAGCATTAAATATCTCTACTGATATGGTATGGTAAATGCGTCATTAACGTCGTTATTTTATGTTTGTTCAAGCAGAACTCAGATAAAAATAAATCATGCAAATGTACCAGTTTTATTGCAGTAATATGCGAATTTCAGATTATCTTATGAGCTGTGATATCCATTGTTTTATCTGCGGTAATATTCCATGGTATTCAATTCACACCGTGTGATATCTCTTGACTCTTTGGCATTTTTTGAACCTGGTGTTATTTTTTAAAAAACAACAACAACAACAGCACACAGAGTTGGTTAGAAATACTAGTCAAAGAGAAAATTAACAAATTGTTGTTTGTAAGGAATCGGTTGGCCCAACTAATAATAATAATAATAATAATTCAATTTCTTTACTGATAACAGAGTATAGCAGAGAGTCTCAAGAAGGAGTCAAGTTCAGTGGAACAGAATACTGATACAACAGAGGTGAAAGAAAATGGTGACATAAGACCTGTTGTTGGTGAGTTGCATGATATAGAATATATACTCTGATATCACTTAGGTTTGGTCCACTGTGATCAAATCACAAAATATTTTGATTCACATCTTTGTTGTTTTTGATTCAAAATTTTGCTGCCTGTACCTTATTTGAAAAATGGTATTTTCTATTGCAGAAATGATTTTCATTGTGTCTGATTTTTATAAAGTTTACCGCGTGGAGGCATGACAATTTCATGTGCAGTCTCTGTTGTGTGTGGTGGCATGTGCCTAGTGTTGTGTAGTGATTCTTTTACAAAGAAAGAGAATAAATTTGGCATTGCTTATATATATATACATGTAGTAATAATATTAACATTAACTTTCAGAAGAAGTTGAATTGTCATGAACAATAAAGACATTAGAAACATCAGTGATGTGATCGTAGAAAAACAAAATAATGTAAACAACAACATATGTCTGTTTCTTTTTACAGGTTTCCAGAATGTCCCACTTGTCAATTCCTCATTATCGCCAGCTGACCTACATGGCATGTGGTACCCAACGGTCCGAAGAACTCTTGTGTGTCTCTCCAAGCTGTATAGGTGTATTGATGTGAGTATGGTGTGTACAGTTTTGCTTCTCCTCCCTGACATGCTACCTCCCAACTTCTGTTCCCCCCCCCCATGACAGATATGCTGTGTTTCTATGGTTGTATTCAACATTTTTGTTATGTCATTTACTTCAATGCTTGCAAATGGGGAATAAATTTTGTATATTAAACATTCATGCTGAGATAAGGTATAATTTGCATCAATTTCAATCCAGGGGTGAAGATTTGCTGCAAATAATTGAGATATAACCATTTACTAATTCACATAACAATGTGCAATTTGCATAATTCAAGTTCATACTGTAAAATACTTTATTTTCACTTGGAATTAATTTTCGCTATTTTCGCTGAAGGAATGATTCACTGAAAATAAAATCCAGTGAATATACTTTTTTTCCTATATTTTATATTCAACTTGTCAAAAATCAGTGAAAATACATTTCATACAAAAAAACAAAAAGTCTTTTCAACGAAAATTAATTCTCGCTAAAATAAAGTATTTTACAGTATGCTGGCTGTTGTTGCTTACTTACATACCGCAGTTAATGCGTTAATCCATCAAGTACTGTAAAATTCTAGCTATAATAAAGTATTTTACAGTATGCTGGCTGTTGTTGCTTACTTACATACCGCAGTTAATGCGTTAATCCATCAAGTACTGTAAAATGTATTTTTTTCACTGCGTTTAAATTGTACTCATTTAGCATTTCAGGCATATTCAGTGGGTTTTAAATACACGGTTTTACCATTTAGATAATGTGTTCCATGCTCAATTTTACATATTCACTGGGTTTTAATTTAGCGCATTTTCCAGTCAGCGAAATTAAAACCCAGTGAATAATTAACCCGTTTACAGTACTGCTTTATGCATTGCTTATTAAAGTACGATGACTCGTGAATCAAAAAGCTGTATTATCATTTTTTCTCTTCAACATGCATAGTAAAATGAGCTTTGAATGGAAATCAGCAGTTAATTAAGACACAAATTATGCGCGTCAGATGATTTTATGAATTTAGAACAAAAAGGACAAGACAACTTGAGAAGTGGGTGTTCATCAAACATGTCCCCCTGACTTGCTCATTAGAGAGACATCAGTTGAAAATTCTATCACAGCCGAGTCTACATAAATGCTCGGTAATGTTTGCTAACAATTTCTGACCCAGAAATCTTGCGAATACTGTAGTTGTTGTATTTGGTATATACTGCACATACTATTTCATACGTCAAATGCTATAAACAAAATACATCAGATAATACAGCTGTACATTTCTGGTGTTATTTTTAATAATGTGTAATTTCACCACCACCATCATGAGTGTTATGCTGTAAAAAATTGTCTAAAAACCAAATAGATTGGAAAAGTGTTTTTGGTTTACCATGGTGTTCAGTTTTGTATAAGGGAAAAAAGGACGGTCGGTGTTCACTTTACACTGGT